CATCATCCTCATCTTCATCATCCTCACGATGCCGTCCATAAGTGTGACTCAGGTGTTCTTGCTGTTGGCCCTCCTCCATCTCACCACATCACTTCCTGTCAGGTACCATCACCTGCACAAATCCCACAGACACAGACAGACATCTCTCCCAGATTTTTCTGATATTGTTGTTTGTATTTGTTTAAATGTTGTGTGTCGTCCTGTCATGTGACCTCAGTGATGAAGATGAGGTGGAGAGTTTCCTGACTCAGATCAGACACCTGAACACACCGTGGTCTCAGTCAGAGTTGAACTCTGGAGACGCTCTGCTCGAGGCCAGACTCAGGTTAGTTTAAGAAAATGAACCCTCACTCCCCCGTGGAGCCTGGAGCTCTTTAAATTGCCCCTTAAAGTGTCTTTAATTGATACTAAGTGAACTTAAAATGTGAAAACTATGTGAAAGGAGTGTCTCATAGTGATGACATCTTTACTGTTTTAGTTTACTCTCACTGCTCTCATAGCATAACATTGGGCTGCAGCAGGCTTCTCAAAACCCATTGAACATATTGAGTATATGGATATATTGTGTATTGTGTTGTATTGATAAAAGAATCTGATCCATATTAATGTGATCATTTATGTGATTGTGTTACAGGCAGTTGCTGTCTGCAGGTCTGGACCGCAGGAGGCAACTAGGAGATATCGAGTTCTCCAACAGATATGCAGAGTTCCTGCGATCTAAAGCCAAGCACAGCTCCATCTGCGCCTTCCTGCGCCGCATGCAGAGCGTCAAGAAGAGGTGTGAGACACACACATCAGACACATTACAGCAACAGTGACACGCATTACAAACACTGAGACACATGTTACAGTTATAACATCAGGGATAAAACATACAGATACACTCAAGGGATTCATTTACTGTTAGGGTGGGGGGTGTTTCACTCGTAACTTCTTTCACTAGTAATTTCATACTCACCACCATGCTCAACGCTCTTTCTCTTTTTAACTGTGATGCTGTTTTCATTAATTGGTTAGCTCCTGTTGTTTCAACTTTACTGATTCTAGTTTTCACTCTACAAGCCTCCCAGTAGTTTACAGGACATAATCTCTTCTTTTCCTCAGATTCTTTTTAATGTGAAACATCTGCAGGAAGTGTTGAGTTTCATCACAGTATTAAAAGTTGAAAATAATTAGTAAATAAAAATGATTAGTATTAGTGTACTCATTCACTGATTAGCTGAGTCTACATTGCTTCTTTTTCTGTTTGGTGTTAAGCTACTGGCAATTAAACCCAACACT